TACCCAGGCACGAGACCGCAGAGGGACACGTCAGATACCACCCGACTGTGGGTACCCAGGCACGAGACCGCAGAGGGACACGTCAGATACCACCCCAGAGTGTGGGTACCCAGGCACGAGACTGCAGAGGGACACGTCAGATACCACCCCAGAGTGTGGGTACCCAGGCACGAGACCTCAGAGGGACATGTCAGATACCACCCGACTGTGGGTACCCAGGCACGAGACCTGGTCTCTCAGTGCCCGTCGCAGTCTCCTGGGGCTGCTGCAGCAGAAGGACAGGTGGGCGGCTTTAAAGGGCAGGGCTTTCCTGTTCCACAGTTTCACAACCAGGGAGTCAGCAGGGCTATGCTCTGTCTGCTCTGGGAGGCCCTCTGTCCCTTTCAGCCTCTGCCAGCAGTGGGTGTTTGTTCCCTGGCCGCCTTTGGCCTGTACTAGGTTCTCTCACAGAGCTCTGATAGTGTAGTACGTAAGGCACTTGACTGCTAACCAGAAGGCTGGCGGTTCAAACCCACCAGCCACTCCTCGGAAGGAAGATGGGGCAATCTACTTCTGTAGTGATGCCACCTCGGAAACCCAAGGAGGGGTCGCTGTGAGTCAGGTGTGACTCGACGGCACATACCAACAACAACAGGTCCTCTCACATGGTCTCCTCCCCCGTTGTGTGGCTGTATCTCTGTGTCTACTCCCCTTTAAAAGACACCATTCTGAAGAGACCAGGTCTAGAACCCAAGCCATTCTGGTATGATCTCATTAACATAATAAAACAAGAACCCTATTTCCAGACAGGGTTACATTCACAGGCAGTTTAGGACTTCAGCATATACTTTTGGGGAACACAGTTTAATCCGTGAATCAGAACACAACCTTGTTCCCATAGAGTTGACTCCAATGCGTAGCAGTCCTGTGGGATAGAGTAGGGCGGTCCTATGGGGTTTTCAAGGCTGCAATCTTTATCTCTCACAGAGCAGCTGGTGAGTTTGAATCAACAGCCTTTTGGTTAGCAGACTAAGCATATTAACCACTGTGCCACTAGGTCACCTATTTAATCCATAACAATCCCAAAAAAACTGCAGAGAAAAAAACGAAACAAACCCACTGTCATCAAGTTGATTCCAACTCATAGCAACCCTCACTGGATTTCCAAGGCTGTAAATCTTTACAGAAGTAGATTGCCCCCATCTTCCTCCTGCAGAGCAGCTTGTGGGTTTGAACCACTAACCTGGTTAGCAGCTAAATGCCTTACCTGCTGTGCCACCAGAGCTCCTTCATGGAAATGCATGGATTGACTTGCATATCCCCCCCCCCATACCTATGGATATAGTCCCACTTGGGAGGAGTCTTTGTAATGTTAATGAAGCCATGCCAGTGTGGGATGTCTTAAGCCTGACCACTTTGAGTTAAGGAAAGCTGAGACCCAGAGGTAAACACTGGGGCAAAGAGATGCCACCAGGAGGTCTCCAAGGAGCACCAGAGAAGCTGAGGCAAGGACCTTCCCCCAGGGCTGATGCCCCTGGGTTTGGACTTTGGGCAGCTAAACTGTGAGCGAGTGAGTCTCTGCTTGTTGAAACTGCCCACATGTGGTGTTTCTGTTTCAGCAGCACTAGGGAGCTAAGACGAGCTGTGTGCCCCGTGGGCCTTCTCTGGATCCTGATTTAAGAAGCCAGTTCATGAGCTGTCGAGGATGTCTGCACACTAACCGAATCTTCGTGTTGAGGAATTAATGTCTTTTCTTAGATGTAATAATGATATTGGCCTAATTTTAAGAGTCCTTGTCTTTTCAATGAGGACAAACACTTGTGGGTGAAGTGTCACATGTCCATGAGAGGGGCAGGCAGGAAGTGGAGGGCATAGGTGGAAACAGGTTGGCCGTGTGCTGTGACTTGCGAAGCTGGCTGAGAGGTACATGAGGATTCTGTTACACTGTTCTCTCTAGTGTTGAAAAGGTTTGAAATTTTCTAATAAGTGAAAACACTGATTTAAGCATCTCATTTTCAGGTGAAACCGATCTCAATGACGCAATAACAGAGGCAGGAAAGACTTACGAAGAAATTGCCAATCTCGTGGCAGAACAGGTACTCACCGGAAGCACAGCATCCTATTTAAGATCGTTTGCTACCTAATCCTCATTTTTAATTCAAAACATAATTAGACTTTCCAAATAGCTATATTTTCTTTTCAATTCCTATGTATCTCTATTAGTACTATGTACTATGTGTATCTTTGTGTTTGATAATACTAGTTCTTAGTAAAGGTAAGGCGCTCTCGTAGTGTAGTGCCTAAGGCATTTGCCTGCTAACCAGAAGGTTGGCGGCTCAAACCCACCAGCCACTCCTCGGAAGGAAGACTGAGCAATCTACTTCTATAGATTTACCATCTCAGCAACCCAGAGTGGGTGGCTATGAGTCGGAATTGACTCAGTGGCACTGAGTTTGGTTTTTAGATAAAGGTAAAGTGGGTGGGTAAATCTGTCATGCACTCTAAATGAATCACCTCCAACACTGATGCTTCTTAGCATGTCTCAGCCACTGTCACCGATTGAATTGTGTCCCCCAGAATTA